GTGTCATAGAATTTTTTAAACAGTTATAGAGATAAAGAATTAATGAAAAATGTTTTTTCTTAATCCTGTGATCCTTTTAATCCATCGAACGATATGATAAAGTGTTTTAAATTTTGTAAAAATTCTGAAGAAATTGCATACATTCAAGTATCTACTTTTAGATTATATTATGATTAAACATTCGAGAGAATTCTATTATAAGTTTTACAAATATTTTCATTTATTTTATTTATTACAGAATAATAATTCTGTAAAAAAAAGTGATTAAATAATTACTTTTAAATTTTAATAAATGACAAAGTTAAAAATTTATGACTACGACGTAGTTTTTTTTTATTTTATATTTTATTTTATATATTTTTTTTTTATCTTTGAAGTTATACAATACATTTTTTTTCATTAATTAATTTTTCCAATTTGCGTAAAAAATATGATCCATAGGTATAAATTTTTTTTTTTTTTTCACCATAAAACCCCTTCAATCTGTGACCTTGCAAAATTCTGTATAATATTTCATCCATTTAACGATGATGGAAAAACGTTCGATTGAATTTTTTTCGCTCCCCCACGGGAACAAAAGGTGATAATTGAAAGTGACGATAGTCCTCCATTCCTTCTTTGGAAATTTTATTTCTGCCTATCAAATGAAAAATGATCCTCAAAGGCAAATGATCGGCGTTGATAATTTTTATTTAAATTGTACGTTACGTTATTATTAACGCGAATATTTCAACGATATCACGATTATTACAACACATTATCACATTTAATACGCGTGAAATCACATTTACCATTTGTCAACGTGTTTTCCCTAATAATGAACAACGTTAGAGAGGAGTAAAATAGGATTTCGAAACTGTAATATCTGCTTGGGAAAATCACGTTTATTTGCTTGTTGTCTAATTACGTAGGACCTAATCTCTCAATTATGTATCATGGGAAAAATGAGATGTGACATAGAGTGAAAAAATAGCAACAAAGAATGGGAATAATATATGATTCTATTTCTTCTGTTTCAATTGTAGTAATAATAACATTTTTCCCATAAATTATATCTTAGATTTGATATTCGAGGAATGTAAAATGTTATACATATATATTATGCAACTGAAAATGAAAATTACAAATGAAAATTTTACAATTCAATCTACTATTTTTCTTATTTATTTTCGAAACACATTAATATAAAAAGACTTTTAAATAAGATGAAACTTTGAAATAACTGGTTTGTAATTATTACGAGCGGATGCATCACGTAATATTCGCGTTTTAAAAAAGATAAGAAGTTATTTTTTTTCGATTATTTTGTTTTAAAATTTTTTTTTAATAAACTTAATAACGATTGATCGATGAAATGATCAAATAAACGTGCATTGATACATTAATTTTTTAAAGTTTATCAATTATACAAATAGTTAAATTTAGAGCAAAATACAGGAAGTTCGCCTAGAAAAGTACGTTAATAGAAGCAATGATTAAGCAAACTATTTTTTCACGACATGGAAAAGGAAAATATCAGAAGGAAAAATCAGTCTAATTCGAGAATCACATTTAATAATCGTATCACTGACGAGTATGACTACGTATGCAGAATCGTATAGGATTTCCCAGATCATAAAGTTATATTTATCGCTATCATTTCTCCATTGTTTAATAAAAATTTCTACGAAATCAGATAATTTAATGATGCAGAAAACAGATAACAGAAAATAATAAACAAATATTACAAAATCGAATAGAAATCAAATTAATGATATGATTTGAAATTACTAAAAGTAATTTTAAAAATAAATCGTCGTGTTCTTAATTTTCTCACAAATTCTAAAAAATCTTTTTTAAAATAAATTTTTTCAAATTAAATAATCATATATTTAACCATATAAATATATAATATGAATAAACAAATAAATTATTAATTATTTGATCTCAATGAGATCTTATAGCTCAAAAAAACATACAAAAATAAAAAAAATCTGCAAATCGTCACTTTGAATTGATATTAAATTATTCAAATTTCGAAATACAAGTAAAAATTCAATTCGAAATAATGTATAATAATTATAATCGAAGTAATAACAATAACTAAGTAGAATTTTCAAAAAAACAAAAAAAAAGAAAAAATAAACTTCTCAAAAAAGGAACTTTCATCGAATGATTCATAGACAAGATATATATTTAAACAAAAATTCGCGTAATTATTAAAATTATTCAGAATTAAATATACGGGGAAAAAATATAAGTGCCCCTACTCCGAGTGATCGACAGTGCTTCCATTAGGAGAAAACTGTGTGCTGGGAGCTCAGTTCCACTGTTTCGCGCGTGCTATTCACACGAATAACGATTATAAACAATAAAAAAAAAAAAAAAGA